GACAAGAATTTGTGGTATTAAAGAGTAAATACCCTAGAAGGAAAATGAATTGACCAGTCGACATAGATTGTTAAGGTTCTGAATCTTCGTTCTCAAGTTGTTCGATTATCCGATCAATCGACATGGATGTAAAGGATTCTGAATACCCTTCTAATTACGTACAGCTTCTGAAAACTGTCCGAATAAGATAATATCCTGATAATTCACATTCTGAATAACTGATGATTCTGTCAGTTAATGAACTATTTCAAATAGTGATTCTAAATTCCGATATCCTATCGGTATACTGAATATTCATGTTTCTCTACATGTTAAGATTATCCAATACCTCTGAATAATATCTGTAAACTCTGGTGTGTTCCCTAATCATATAAATATTTTATCTGATTTCCGACTTGAATTCTATTATGATCCTGACCTGGATTCTGATCTGATATTGACATGGATTCTGATCTGATACATGACCTGGATTCTGATATGATACTTGACTTGAATTATGTTTTGATTTTTGATATATCCGTTTACGGACGGAACATGTTTTATTGGGGGGTATTGTTGGAGGAAGATTACTTGGAGGTTCCTCGGCTGTGTGCTCAGGGCCTTACTTACCGGTTCCTCGGCTGTGTGCTCAGGGCCTTACTGTTAGTGACGGGGTTGTATGGTTCTGGGGAAACTATACATTTTGTTCGTGACGGATGGGGGTATATATATATAAGTGTTTTAAAAAAAAAATCTGAAAAGTTACATGATTTTTGGGAACACACTAGAAAACCTATTCTGATCTCCTGAACTCAGTCATCTGAAATATTTCTCTGAAACGAAAGCTCATTGTCCGTTACCACCTGAAATATCAGTAGGATCTCTGCTCAGCATAAAAATATGTAAATGTTCGGAAACAATAAGGAAATAAATATTTATCTGTATCTGCACGTTCATCAGCATCATCTGGTAGTTCTGTATTACTGAGCTTTTCGAAGCTCACTCTATTACTCATCTTTTCAGGTTAAAAGAATTGTACCAGAGCATCTATCGACTTCAGTAAGGGAGTTCTTCCGGCGTTGTTGCAGAGTATGGTACATGTGATTAGGGAGCATGTAATTGTATTTTGATTTATATACGAGTCTGGAAATATGTTTTATTTTTAAATAGTGACAAATGATTTTATAAGTTTACATGTTCGGATAAAAAGATTTAAATTTTCCGCTATTTTTACAGTGGGTCGCTCCGGTGGCCCTAATGTGACTTTCCGGATCGGATCGGGCTACCCGCATCGGTCTAGGGGGTTACATAAAGTATAACATAACTTAAGTAATTATATTATAAAGTCATAAGGTATTAAAATATAACACAGACAATAACTGCTTTTACTTTTTCTTTTTCTTTTAATTAATTACTGGTATTTAATATATTGACCGACTAATCTAGATCGGGTACTGCAAAGACGAAGGTGATATTCTCAACCCAATTTGCTCCATTCGCAAACGCCAAAATTCGAACCCCTGACCTTGCTTAAGGAATCTAGTGCCTCATCCTACTAGATCAACTAGTTGTTTCTTCTCATGCTTTTACTTTTAAACTTTGGGTTTTAACACCCATGAATATTCACGTTTTATATAATAAGAATTTATTAAAAACAATACACTTTAGAATATGCAGAATGAACATGTCTTTAAATCAGACAATTGTGATTTTGCTCCTGATTGTAATCACACGTTTATATATATGTTTGGTTCACGGATTGAGTCGTGATATAAGACTGAGAATTTTTTTTCGGGGTTCGATAATACTATCTGCTGGTCTTATCGATTCTTATATATATATTGCAATTCCAGTGAGCATATCAGAGTGTTTATCCCGTTAAAATTTTGCAATTCCAGTGAGAATATTATGGTGTTTATTCTGTTAAAAGTTTGCAATTCCAGTGAGCATATATGTATATTTTAGATTATGAGAACCTCTAAATTATTTCTTTAGTAATCGATAAGTGTATGCCAATTGGGTTTATTAATATTGTCATATGCACTAACATACGAAGTATTAGAATTTCCAGAAGACTGCATATCTATGCTTATTAGGAATTACGTTTTAAGGTTTAATATATTACATAGCTTGATATTCCTAATTGTGATTATGTAATCTTCCAAATTTTAACAGTAACTTTTGATTATGGAATTTTAATTTGCCATGACATATCTCACGTTTTGATTCAATGAATTGTATTGTGTTTAGTTTAATTTGGTGAATCCATGGTTAAGAAATTCTTGAAAAATAAGTCAAAGATTTAAGTTTTTGGTTTCTAATAATGTCATTTATATAACTTTATTATGAGTTACTTCGAAAATCATGACGTGATTAGTTTTTGACCGTTATGGATTATAGAATATATATTTGGCATTGATATATTTGATTCAGTTTGATTAAAGATTTCATTCATTAGTATATACTTTGATCTTGACTTTTGGTTAAATATTGATTATTGTTTTGAATTCGGTTTGACTTTGGTAATTTATGAAGTTATGAATTAAATGCATGTTTATGGAATTATTCGGAAACAATCAAAGACTTGAGTTATGTTTTTTATAGCATCATTTATGTAACCTTATTTTAGGTTATTTAGGAGATTGTAGTGTAATAAAAAAATTCATTTTAACCTTTAATTATTATAGAAATATTAAATTTGAAATATTGATATTTATTTTGAGACGACTTATTTAAAGCATTAAGTCTTTAAAGTGATCTCTATTGTGGGAAATATTTTAGTTTTAAAATATGAAGGTTATGTACATCAACTTAAGATATGTTAGTATAGATCAGCCCAAAGGAAGATTAATAGTTGAAATAATTGCATGTACAACTTTGGTAATAAACATGTGATAATTATTCGGTTCAATGTGTGAGTAATATATCGAGCCAAAGGAAGATTTTTGCTTGATAAGTTCTTATTATCAATGTTTGATTACTGCATCAAATATTACTTAAACTGAATATTTTATATATAGATGAAATATTAATGGAGTATCTAATATCTTGAGATGAGATTTAAGATTATTCAAATTTAATATTAGTTTGGTTATCTTTTACTTAAAAGATAAAATTATAAGAAATTGATTTGTTGATAATATTTATATGGTTTTATTTATATTGTTAATATGTATATATTCATTTCGGTTTAAATTTTAGTTTTGATTGTTGGTTATTAGAAAATATATTGAGATAAATTAATTCACATTTTGATTAGGTATAATATTTTAGTAGATTAGTTGAAACAAAATGTCGCCAAAGTGACATTTTTTGTGTAGACTGATTTATTCGAAATATCAAGATGATTACGTGTTTCTTGTAATTCATGTGTTTATTAATTGACCTAAAGGAAAGTTAATATTTGGTCAAATTTCAAGCGACACCTGTGGTAATAATATGTGACATTTATAAGGTATTCTATGTGAGCATTACACTTGTCCAAACACTAGTCTATTGTTTGACATAGCTTATTGTCAATGTTTGATTACTAAAACAAGATTACCATTTATTGTTAATATTATCGCCCAAAGACTTGATATTGATGTAGTGTTTGGTATCTTGTGATGGGAATTAACTATTATTTTTGAATTTATTTGTTTACTTAAGAATATCAATGTGAACTTAAAGCTTATTTATGTTTTGTTCTATATTCTGCTAATTATTTATTTATTGCTATTACAATATCTACTAATATACATTTTATACACACGTTTAGAAAAATAAATCTAAAGGAATGGGAAAATGCTTTTACACAAGGTTTTGTCTGTATGAACATAGACTTTGCACTAAGAACAATTTCCATCTTTCATGGGGGATAACATCCTTAATTGGTATAACAAATTTTGAGAGGTAAAATTTGTTCAAATTTCATGAGTATAGTGGTCATGAAGTAACAACATTTTTTGAGCTTTAGAGGCACATAATTTGAAAAGATTATTTAGGCCAATGGTTTCCTTGACGAATTTGAGAAATGTTTTCCTAAAAACCATAAGGTTTACATGACATCACTTTTGAATTCTTTGATGTCTATAAAGTATAAGGGCCAAGGAAATGTGAGGGAGTAAATTATGGATATGTATCATATTGCTTCAAGACTTAAGGCAGTTAAGATCGACTTTTTCTAAAGAATTACTTCAGTATCGCTTTCTATAGATTTTAATCAACTGAAATGGATAAATAAACTCTAAATAAGCTCATTTTTTATTGTGTGCAAGATGAAGAAAATTTAAAGCATAATAAGCTTGAAATTATTCATTTGAAAAATGCATATAAAATAAGGGCAAAAAACAGAATATAGTTATTAAAAAGTCCAACTCAAGGAGACAACAATATGTTACAAAGGGTTGTTCTCTTTTTTAGATAAGTTAAGACATATGAGGAGGAATTATATTTTAAAACAGTACCTATGTTTATTACACAAGTATAAAACTTTGTGATTATATCTAGTTTACCTTTATCCATTAAATGTGGCACTGAAATTTTTGATTTCCTCGACTAATTTTTTTATGATATAAATTTATTGTGTCTATAGATATTGGTATCTTCTATATGACCTTAAATTGCATTATGAAACTTTGGTCACCAACCTCTTATTTATACTGCAGAAACAGATTATTTCAGTTGTCTCTCTATATTAATGTGTTAATGTGCAGACAGATATTTTATTGGAATTGCTCCATTTCTGGTTGAGTTCGAAATTACAATTGGATGAGAAATTCATGCATTAACAGTTCTTGTAATACCGATCTTTCTAGGCATAATGTAAAAAAAAAATGTTACTAATGTTAAATAATCATTTTAGTTCCTATTTTTTTAGAGTATTTTGATCCTCAATATTTTATTTTGGGGGAAAAAAGACTTCTTCATCTATAAAAATCGTTAATCAAAAAAGGTCAAACGCTCTTTGTATATGAATTTGTTACAATTTTCCAATTCACAAATTACTTAAACTTGGCATGCATTGATCTATTGAATTGCAGATGAGGCACATGTGGCCAATAACATCACTATCAATCAACGTATCAGACAACATTCTCTACTCAGCTTCCGTCAATAAAACCGTGAAAGTTTGGAGAATATCGGACCTCAAATGCATCGAGAACATCCTGACACATTCCGAACCCATCAACTCGATTGTCGTGGCCGACCACGGAATACTCTACACCGCCTCCGACGATGCCACCGTCAGGGTATGGCAACGCAACTTCTGCCGAGGAGAATGGCCTCATTCGCTCATGGTGACCTTACCGGCCAAATGCTCACCCGTCAAAACCGTAACACTAACCGCGGACGGCGGAGTCTTGTATGGAGGCTGCACCGACGGATACATACATTTCTGGTTGAAAGGTTGGTTATCAGGCCAACTACAATACGGAGGTGCACTCCAAGGTCACACACAAGCAGTCATGTGTCTAGCCAGTGTGTCCAACTATGTGATCAGTGGCTCGTCCGACTCGTCTAGCAGGGTCTGGACCAGGGAACATGATGGTCAACACGTATGTCTAGCCGTTTTGGTGGGGCATAGGGGACCCATCAGATGTGTGGCTGCATTTTTGAGACATTCGGGGGACGAGGTTGAAGATGGTTGCACCATCTGCAGTGGGAGCCTTGATGGAGTTTTGAAGATGTGGCGCGTTAATCGTACGAAGAGTGCCAGTGGAGGCTTTTTAAAAAATTATTATTTCGAGTTAGATGAGGGAGTTTAAGACATTTGGTTAGGTTATCAAGAATGTACAGTGTAATTTGTTCATCATTTGATTTCTGGAATTCTGTCTGTCGAGCTAATACCGGGACTCAAAAATTTTGTAGTGTAATTATAGTTGGATTTAAATAAATGTTAGATATAGATATAGCGATACAATTAATAATTTAATAGACTTTTTGTTCAGATCTTAATTTAAACTAATGAAAATCTAACAACATGAGTCCAAACGCAAACCTAACCAGTTATCCAGCTTACACTTGTACCAAAACAAAAATCTAAACTGAAATCAATCTAAATCGTACCATCTTAAAACCTAACTAATCTCAGGAAACTCTCTCTCTCAGAGACGGGTGCAGAATTTTATGTTAAAGGAGTGAACTAACGAAAATCTAACATCATGAGTCCAAACTAAAATCTAACCCGTTATCCAACTTGTACCAAAAAATCCAAACTCGAATCAAACTAAATTCGAACCATCCCGAACCCTAACCGACCTCAGCAAATTCTCTCTCTCTCTCTCATGTCTCTCTGATCAGTTCTTCTCAAGGATGGACCATAATTTTATGTTAGAGGAACAAATTTATAAAATTTTAAAAATGGACGACCTTATAAAATTTCAGGGGAAAAATAATTTCTCAATAAAAAATACATAGAAAAAAAAATCTAAAATATATGATAATTTTAAAATTTCAAGGATTGTTGCAGGCCGAATCCATCCAAACTCTAGAAATTACGTAAAAAATTTCCAGAAAATAATTGAGCTGTGTCAAACTCATCAAAATATCAAATATAATGACAAGTAACCTTGATTTAGTCTTAATTTATTAGTTTTAATAAAATTATGGCCTTTAGATTGATAAGTAAACTCGATTTAGTCCTAATTTAGTACTCTAATAAAAGTTGTCGATGTTTTTTAAAATTTCGTTCATGGCATGTTATTACAAGTTAAGTTATTTGTTTATATGTATTTATTTTATTCTTTTGTTATCAATATTTTGGTAAATATTATTATAAGATTGCTACCAACTCTTTCTTTACACCTATCTATTCTTTTTCCCCCCAAAAAAATCTCCAAATATTTTTTATAATTGAAGACACTCAAATTCGTCCTCTAATGTTATATTATATATATATTATCATATTATAATATATATATATATATATAATTTATTTATTTATTAGGGTACAAGTCCAATAAAAGACCAAACAATGGCCCAAATACAAGCAGTAACCCATTACACGCCCCAGGCCCAAACCGGTTCAAGACCCATTGAAGCTAGGATTTCTAGAACCCTAGCCAGCTTCTCTCCAGCGCCGTTCTCCCCTTCAACGAGAGTCCCACGCCTCACGACTCTCCCTCCGAGTTTCACGGTGCACGTCTCTCACCTCCAACAGCTCCGAAGCGTCCGGCGAACGAAACCCATTCATCACCAACAAACACAAACAGATTGCATTAGTGTTTTATTCGGTTGTAAATACCTAAAAATAGGATTTTTATTCCTATAAATATATGTAATCAGAACCCATGAAGTGGGCAGGAAATAACAAGAGAGATTTTTCACACGAAATAGATACAAAATCCTAGCAAAAATTCGCAGGAAATATTAGAGTGAAACAGAGGAATTCTCGCAAAGTTTTCGGAAGGAAAAGGTAAAAGTTTGTACCTTTATCTCTTTAGATGCTTGCATGCATGGTCTCTTCGTCATTTTGGTTCGAATAGAACCCAAAAGAAGCGTTTTTAGCCGATGAACAAGGGGCATTTTCAGGATCTACTTCCGTAGATCTAGCCCTCGAGGCTTGATTTTTTGGAAAACTATATGGATTTTTAAAACGAGGAGGGAAAGATCTTTTAGAAAATCAATTTTTTTTGAGTTGTGCCGCCAATGAACGGCGGCCGGCGCCGTTCAACGGCGTCGGCGAGGCTGCGTAGGGTGGCCGGAATCTGGGCACCAAGAGCACGGCAGCTTGTGTTCATCTTTTGGATGAACAAATGAGAGAATTTGAGTGAGGGAGGGGGGCTCTCGACGAGAGAAGAAGAGAGAAATGAAATGTTTCAGAAATTTTTAACTGATATACTGAACCCGATCCAGTCCATCGACTCGACCCGAAGAGCACGAGATCCGCACGTTTCTGCTTGTATAAAGGGTAAACCGCACCTTTTGACCCTAATGTTTCCATAGCTTCTATTTTAGTCCCCAAATCCGATTCTCAAATCCGATTTCCTTTTGATTTCGACCCTCAATTGAGATTTTCTTTCAATTTAGTCATTTTTCTGATTTTTAATTCTTTTTTATATATTTTATAGTATTATTAGTTTTTTATCTAGTATTTTATTTTTTACATATATGTGTCATTAGTACCTTATTATTTATTTTATTAATTTATTATTTATATCTATACGCATGTATATATTTTATTTATTCCTTAATTCACAAGTTATATTATATATATATATATATATGTTTTTATCTTCTTTCCCTCGTCTTATTTTACTTTTTTTTATTTATTGTTATTTAATTTATTTATTTTTGTCGTATTTTATTTATTTACATTTGTTCCTTTATTTACCTTATCCTCATTTGTCTGTATTCTTCATTTCAGTTTTGCTATCTCAATGTTAGTCATGTTGTTTGATTTTTGTTCTTATTTTATATGTTGGTAGTTATTATTTATTTATTCTTTATTTTAGTTTCTTTATTTTCAATTTATTTTCGTCACCTTTGTTTTTCTAACGCTTTTCCTTGATTCTATAAGAGTACACTTTCAAAAAACAGTTGAAGGTAAGTTTTGGATCGTTATTTTACATTTCAATTTAAATTTACAATTTTCTTAATTAAGGCAACTGGAAATTACGTAGTACCGAAAGGGTGGTTCAAGGGTGCTAATCCTTCCTTGACCGTAACCGACTCCCGAGCCCGACATATTTCTGGTAAGACGTAGATCTGGTAAGAAATAGGGTATCCGATCAACCCATTTATTTTTAAATAAATGATTGGTGGCGACTCTAACCCAATTTATCCAAGTCGAAGCCTAATTCCGGGGCTCAACCGAAAGACGGTTCCGACAGCTTGGCGACTCTGCTGGGGACACAGGTAAGTGAGTCAGGCTAAGGTAATTTCCAGTTGTCTTTTTAACGAAAAGGGTAAGTTTAAATTTTAAGGTAATATTTCGATCCTTATTACTTATTTTTGATTATATTTTTTCAAGTAAATAGTTGGACTGACCGTTTTCTAATGATTTCAGCTTTCCAAACATTTTTCATCTAAGGCTCTAAACCCGAGCTCCGAACCCGTTTTAAGTGGGGGGTGAAAGCGACGCCTTCGTGTGAATTTATTCACCGTATGGGCCTAGCAAGTAGCCTTCGGGATTCATATACCTTATGCGTTCGTGTGAATTTATTCTCCGTATAGGCATAAGGGAATGTGTCCTCTCGAGTTTAACTTAGTCCACACAAGCCTGTGATGGGTTTCGGACTAAGGGTCTGGTCGGCCCAAGGGGGCGCCAGCAAGGATAACTCGAGTACCGTTTTTAGAACCTAAACCGGGAGACTTTGAATAAATAGAGCCTACCCCAAAACCACATTCCAAAACCTAGGACATTTCTTTCCTAACCTTTTTTTTTGTCCTTATGTTTTTTCCTTTACCATTTATTTTTTTTTATTTTTTTTATTTCTATTTTATTAACCTTTTTGCCTTTGTGTTTGTTTTTAGCATTTGCATCATAATAAGAGGCCATTGATCCCTAAAGAGGTGTTTATTAAAACTCAAATAATCTGAATTCATGGACAAAGGTGTTGTAATACAAGAGATTGAAAACGCTGAGGCACGACTATGGTCCGAGAAGACTCAAAGTGAAAAGGGAGACAGTCTTCAAGGAAGCTATGTGTCAGAGTTGGTTCGCTACACCCCTATCAGCCTAAAACATAACAATGTACAAAGAGCTTCGAGATATCTGGGACAGTTGGAAGAATGATCGGAGACAGAAGTTCAGCCAACGGTACGGTGACATTGCACTCTTGCTTCATGTTAAGACTGATGAGCCCTTAATCAGAGCCATGGTTGAATTCTCGAACCCGGGATATAGTTGCTTCACTTTCAACCAAGAGGACATGGTGCCCACCATCGAAGAATACACTACACTGCTGCATTGTGAAAGCATCAAGCTTGAGCGAGCCTACATTAAACACATCAAAAGCCAGCCCTTCAAGAATGCACTGGCCAAAGTTGCAGGAGTAGATGAGAAATGGGTAATCGATCGGACTTAGCGTAGAGGCAGTGGAGAAGTAATTGAATGGATCCACATAAAGCAACTAATGAAAAACCACCCTGGTGAGTGGAAGACTATAGACCTTTTTGCACTGGGTCTGTACGGTTTGATCATCTTTCCGAAAGCTTTGGGGTGCATTGACGCTGCCATGGTGGAACTATTTGAGGAACTTTCTAAACGAGTTAACCCAGCACCAGCCATCTTGGCCGAGACCTTTCGATCTCTCAACCATTGCCGAAGAACTGGTGGAGGAAGATTCACCGGGTGCATTCAGCTCCTTCAGGTCTGGATTCACAGCCACTTCTGGAAGACTAACGGGGTTGCCTACCGCCGTTTCAGCACCACCTATTCACCTCTAGGTGAATTTATCACCTTAAAATGGCATGAAGGCGCCTCGAAGGAAAAATGGATGAAGGTCTTTACGCATCTTCAGGACCGGGATATTGTCTGGAGAGCCCCCTGGCTATTTCTCAGTGACGTTCTTTTCCGATGTGGTGACTCTGACACTGTGACCTTACTTGGACTTTGGGGAGCAGTCGGGTATGCTCCGCTATTAGCACCTAGACAGTATGGAGCACGTCAGTTTGTCCCAGCAACATGCAGGTTGGCTAGGTCAGAGTTTGAGTATCACGGCGACAGCTATAAGAAGATGATCAAAGAAGCAGCCGATTCATGGAGGAAAGTATTCCGGATGGATGTTGTAGCTGCCAGAAGCATGCGCACTCCGGATTATGT